ATCTCACAATACCTACAATCTATTTTATACACTCCTTAGTCATGAGACTTTCTGAGCAGTAAATACCATTGTTGTGTTTGTAAGTCCTACTGAGTCCTTTAGCATCAGAAGTATTTGTGCTAAACTGGCAACATGCAAATCCAGGTCAGGTGCACCCTAAGTTAAATTTAAAAATACCTTGTAAGAGAGTCCTAAAGACTAACAGGACTAGCATCTAATGAAGTGGGCTATAGGCTATGAAAGCTGATAATATGTTTGTTAGTCTTACAGCACCACAGAAATTAGTTGTAATTGACTCTGTCAAGTGATATCTTCCAGCACACACAACACTACAGACACAAACATATACAGTTGGTCCTCTGTATTCATGGATTCTGCATCCATAAATTCCACCATCCACAGCTTGAATTTAAAAAAAAAATCCCAAAAAACTATCCTTGATTATGCCATTTTATATACCATTTTCCTACCCTATTGTATATAATGGGACTGAAGCATCCATAGATTTTTGGTATCCGTGGGGAGTCTTGGAACTAAACTCCAGCAAATACCAAGGTCCCACTGTGCATATAGACTAAAGAAGGCTTGAGGGTTTGAATGACCCAGAAAGTGAGGCCAGAAAACCTGAAGTGCAAGAGAAAGTCAGAAATTACTTGGGGGTATGCATCATCATCATCATCATCATCATCATCATCATCATCTTCAATGTTCATATATTTCTGAAATGAGAAATATCCACAATGTAGTATGAATCAGATTAGTACATCATGTTAAATGGGATGACTTGATGTTTAGAGTTAATGTAGAAGTGTCAGTGTGGTGTAGTGATTTGAGTGTTTGACTACAACTCCAGAGACCAGTGAATGGGAAAGTCACACTGTCTCAGACTTTGAGGAAGCCAAATGCCAAACGCCTCTGAACAAATCTTTCCGAGTAAACCCTATCATAAGTATGCCTTTGGGTTGCCATATGTCGGAAAGGACTTGAAAGCACACAACAACAACAGAAGAAGCACCTCTACATTTTAGAATTCTTCAGGCTGCATTTTTTTATCTCTGATGTTATCTGTTTTGGGTCTATTCACACATAAAGGTGTGAGTGACTGGCACTTCTCACATTTAAGATCTCAAGTCAGTAAAGTGTCTGAAATGTGTCTGTAGTTACACTCTCTGTGTGTTGTCATCTGTTTTTAAGCACTTGGAATGGCATGAATATAGGAGCCCTCTTAACATTCTGATTATGTTTACTTTAGAAATGTAGGCCCATTAGTTTCAGTGTGTTGTTTTCAAATGTGTATTTATAGGATTGTAGCCCATTTTCCAACCTGTGTAGATACAAGAGGCTTCCTAGATTTTGGGAATGTAGCTATTCACTCACAACTGCTCAGTCTCACACTTCATTCATGACAATTCTGGTGACAGAAAATGCCTCTAAGGGCCTTAGCCCATCTCAGAGAGAAACTCCAGAGGCCATTTCTGGAATGCGCTGCTTTTTGACATCAGTATCCCAGCATTGCTGTTTCCCTTGAGAGGAATACTGGAAATTTTGGATTTACCTATCCATTTCTGTTCTTCTTAAGGGAAGGAGGGCGGTTAGGGTGTTGCTCCATTATATGGTTCCCTCCACACAAATTCTTTTAGGGATGTCTGCTTGCACGCTGGATTTGCTTTTCTCTGGTTGTGTATCTGCCTCTGATTGAACTTAAGGAATAAAAGGAAGAAGTTTCTCAATTTTTCAGGTTCCTAGTTAATGTTTTTATAGATGTGTATTTCTTGTTACATTTCTGCCACAAAATAGCATTAATACATGGTTGATTAGGTTATTTTTCTTGTTGTTGGATTTAATTATTTGTATCTCACCATCAGTGTCTCTAACACTTTGTTGTTGTTGTTGTTAATGCTATGAATGAGATATCTCCTGTTACTCTATCATCATCAGCCCTGCTCAAGTCTCATAGACTCAGAGCCCTGACTTCCTTGGTTGAGTCTACCTATCAGTAATGCAGTTTCCTTCTTTTCCTGTTGCTTTCTACCTTACCAAGCATTGTTGTCTTTTCTAGTGAGTTAAGTCATCTCATGATATGGCCAAAGTACAATAGTCTCAGTTTAATCATGCGTGGCTTCTAGGGTGAGTTCAGGATTGATTTGTTCTAGGAACCATTTATCTTTTTAGCAGTCCATGGTGTTTGTATAATTCTTCTCCAGTACAACATTTCAAATAAGGTGATTCTTACCAACTTTCTTTACTGTCCAGCTTTCACACATGTAGAAATGGGAAATACAGTGGCATGGACAATCCTAACTTTAGTATTGAAGTTTTTACACTTCATGATTTTGTCTAGTTCCTTTATTGCAATCCTACGGGCTGTACAGACGGGCAAAAAGAGGTACTTTCAGGCTGACTTGGAGGCATGGTGTTTAGACGACACATGCCTAAAACCCAGCAAGAAAGTGCCCTCTAGGCACCGCATGCTGGGAAAAGCCACTCCAAAACGTTTTTCTTAGTACAAAGATGTGAAGTGTGTTTTATTGCGCTGTCCAGTTTAAAACATTTTCTTTTGTTATAGAAGGGATATTACAAGCACACCTCAATTTAAAAAAGGTGCGGTGCAGACCGGTGGCTCTGGGCCACCCCGGGAAGCAGTGGATCAGGGCCAAGGCTACCCCATGCCACGGCCCTGATCCTCCCTTTTGCCGTCCCGAAAAGAGCGGCAAAATGCTGCTCTAAGAACTGGCACACGGCTCTTCTTCGCCCTTTCTGGTGTCAGAACGGCATTGGCATGGGGTTGAGGCAGCCAGTGTGCGGCTGCCCCACCCCATCTCTTTTTAGCATTTCCAGGCCTCCATTTTACTTTCTGTCTAGCTGAATATTTTTGCAGCATTGATGATGAAGGGCTAGAGAAACACAGACTTTTGGTGTCAGGTTGCAACAGCATGTCTGCAGCCAATAATGTGATAAAAAAGCTTGTGCTGGGAAAGCTGAGATTTGTTTCCTAGCCATATGTGTCTGCATCCACTAGGCAAGGTAAAAAACAGTTGCGTATGGGAGCATAGACAAGTCTATCTCAACAGCTAGTCCCAGCATCTTAAAATTACATAGCTCTATATATTTATCCACCAATGGGGAAATCATAAGAAAAGAGGAAGGTGATGAACAGCAGGAAAAAAGATGAATTTTGGAAGAAGCCTTCAAGTGGTCTGTAGAAGGTTCAAAATGTTTTTGTTTACTTATGTTTACACGACCTGGTTTTTCATTTCACTTGCACATATTATTAGTTTTGGTTTTTAAAATTCCTGAAACATGTGAAATTGCTCTTCTTTTTTGCAGTATAGGAATCTATCCCTATTCTTTCAATACTATTTCTGCCTCTAGTACCAAATTTTCTGTGAAAGAAGTAATGCCCATGAACACATTTACTTAGGTGGGTGCAGATGGGCGGCTCTGGGCTGCCCTGGAAAGCGGTAGATCGGGACTGAGGCTACCCCACACTGTGGCCCTGATCCTCCCTTTTGCTGCCCCAAAAAGAGTGGCAAAATGCCACTTCTTTTAGGGGCAGCAAAAGGCCGCCCTAAGAGCTGGCATGCGGCTCTTCTTCGCCCTTTCCGGTGCAGCATGTCAGAACACTGCTGGGAGGGCATCCTGATGCCATGTGCTGTGCGTAACGGCGCACAGTGTCAGGACAGCATCAGTGTGGGGTTGGTGAAGCCGGCGGGCGGCTGCCCATCCTATCTCTGCCTCCAGGCCCACCCTTTGGGCCAGTCTGCAGAGGCCCCTAGTTAACTGAGGTATACCTATATTGTTTGCAGGAAGCTTTGTGTACTACAGATAATAAGTTTTGGGTCTTGAGGGTGCCTTGGCTCCTATGTAAATTTTCATTCGCTTATAAAGTATATGGCTTCATATGAAGCAGTGAAGTAGCCTATAGTTCACTGTGTGATGCTATTTTTATTATATACCGGTAGCACACATGAAGAAAAAAAATAAACCAATACAATGACCTTATTAGTATTTCAGGCCTTTTTAAATTATATAATGTTCTTGAGAGAGGGAGTAACTAATAAAACAAAAATGCATAAGTGTGACAAGAAGTTTCTTTATGGAATAAATAAGAACTTTATTTAAATTAACTTTACATCTATTGGAAAACGAATAGAAAAAAAAGAATAAATGTACTCAGTGGTTAAAAACAGCATTGAGTCTCTAGGCTTTCAGGAAGGGGAGGTTGTTTATTATGTAATTTTTCAGTTTCTATAGATATACTTGTGTGTAAATTTCCACCTTCCCATTCAAACAGATTCCTGGCAAATTAGTATAGAATTGTGGCCTTAGAAGGTTATAGTACTGATGTAATAATTTTGTTGCAGTCCTTTATATTGTGGGATACAGAGAGAATCAAGAGCCAAGGAATCTTGTATTACGTTTACACTAAGACAATAGATAAGTGAACAGTTAGCAAAATTAGATCTTCTCTTCTGTTGCATTGCCATCTGAGTTGTTATCTATTATCTGCACACTTGTCTTCTGAAAGAGACTTGGTGTTTCTTGGGGTTTTGGCTACCTCTGAAATGAAGGCCTCCTGTATCTTGCTGTTTCTCAAAGACTTTTAAGGAAACAATCTTAGGTACTATGCTTAGTGTATAAATAAGACTTTGATTGGTATAGCTCTGATGACTTGTACAGATGGAGGATTGCAGGTGTTTCTGTGTGGCCAGTCAAATAGACGGCCATCCAGTGGGATGGCATTTAGGCACCAGGCAGTTGCCAGCAGTATGTTTGTGTGACAGTGCACATGCATGGTGACAAGGCAACAAAAAAAAAATTACCAAGAGGCATGGCTTGAAGCTGCAGTGTGTGGTCAGGCTGGGTGCATTCAGGCCGCCTTGGAAGTGGCCATTGTGGACAGAAAATGCTGGTTCAAGATGCTTTTTTCTGCTCATCTGTTCTGGGCCTTAGCTTTAAAAATTGGTGGTTATATTTGTTCTCTTTATTCTTATAAGAGAGATAGTATGGTGTAGTGGTTTGAGCATTCGACTATCATTCTAGAGAACAGGGTTTGAATCCCTGCATAGCCATAGAAACCCACAGTGACCTTGGCCAAGTCATATTAAGGCTCAGAGGAAGGCAAAGGCATTTGTTCCTCTGGACAAATCTTGACAAGAAACCCCCATGATAGGTTCACCTTAGGGTTGCTATAAGTTGAAAATGATTTAAAAGCACACAACAACAACAACTGATTATACATTATACTGCAGGGGTAGACAACCTTTTTGAGCTGGGGGCCAATCCCCCGAAGTCCTACCTTCCGGCGGGCCTGGGGAAGGGAATGGCAGCGCGCATCTCCTGCCGCCATGTGCAACAGCCCCATGCATGCTGCTGCTGCCGCTGCCGCCTCTGCGCATGTCGTGGCCGCCATTTTGTTCTCCAAAATGGCAGCCGCAATGCATTTGTGCATGCACAATACTTCTGCGCATGCGCAAACGCGTCGCGGCCACCATTTTGGAAATTTGGAAAATGGAAAATCGCGCAGCGACCAAAACGCGCAGGGGTGGCAGGGGTCCGCCTGGGCCAGTAAGCGTGGGGCCCTGGGCCGGAACCGGCCCGGGGGCCATAGGTTGCCAGCCCGTTATACTGTTTGCTGTTATGCAGCCTTTTGATAGGAGAGTTGGAAATGCACTTTCTCTGCTGGGCAATGGAAAAAAATTCTCAAGGTGCAGAGCTGGGAATCCTTAATAGAGAGACCCAAGGAAACAAAGGCTGATTCATGTACTTGTCCTCTGTAGTTTGATAATTTTGAAATTTGGGACTCTGATCCATGGTGTCGGAACATATCACATGGGATTAGCAATTGATATATAGACAAATAGATACAGAGGGACAAATAGGCCAGATCAATATTATGAAGGTAGGAAACTGTCTCATGTAAGATCAAGTCAAAAATCTGGATTTCAGCTATGAAAAACCTGGAGGAAGAAAATAGATGTAGGTGTAGGAGGTTGTGAGTGGCTTTCAGAGCTGGTGAGAACGCTCTACAACTTTGAGAAGTGTTGCTGTCTCATTTTCTAGCTCAAATATTACTGTTGGATACCAATCTCTGTGTGAATCTGATTCAGACTTTTAAAACTTGCTTTTATTCCATGTTTGGAATTTATTATTTCTGTCATAGTCATTGCTTGACATAGGAACTTTGAAAATTTTACCTGTTTTGTTTTTAGCCTTGTTTGTTTGTTTTGAAATAAAGATGGAGAGAGAAAAAATATGAACTGTTCTCATAGCAAAGCATTATCATAGTTAATATATGCTCCTTCAGCATGCTGTAAATACATTTGCCCCCTATCAAAGCAAATTGAGTGGAGAGTTGAAATACATAAGTGTGCATGTTTGTCTCTGTCTCTCTTGAGTAGCACACTACATGAAGTATTCAGAGAAGACCTTGCACATTTGCTGTTTCTGTGGTGCAAAGAATTGAATAGAGTGACTAGGAGCAGCAAGGTCAGCACATCATTCTGAAATGTTAACCACTCTATCAAGTTTGTGGAGAAGTAATAGTGTTATTGCTGTACATCAGCTTTCATTCTGTAATACAGACAAGATGAGACCAAGCTTGCTGGTGTTAAACCGCATTTCAGCTGAATACCGCCTCTAAGTCATGTATTGTGGTTTGTCTTATTTTTGCACGTCTTGGCAGTCAGCTAAGCCAGAAGGTTTTTATTGACCCTCTCTATTCTTCTTCCAGGGTCACATGTTGTTGAGGCTTGGCATAGATGTCAATAATCATAATACTGTAGGCATTGTAGGAGTAGCTAAGATATTGAGATACATTTTTGAAACTGAACAAATTTGTTGTAGGCCATGTCTGTGTTTGTTATGTCACAATAAGTTGAGGTTCTTAGAGATCATTCCTTATTGTTTACAATTTGTGTACTGATGTACTCTGTCAGATTGGGAGCTGGTAAATAAACCAGTGAGAACCAGTGTGGTGTGTAGTGGTTTCATTGTTGGCCTAGGATTCTGGAGACCAGGTTTTGAATCCCTGCTTGGCCAATGAAACCCCTTGGGTGACCTTGAGTAAGTCACATTCTCTCTGCCTCTGCAAAGGCAAACCCCCTCTGACCAAATCTTACCAAGAAAACGCATAAGTTTGTCTTAGGATCGGTCTAAGTTAGAAATGACTTGAACACACATAGCAACAAAGAAACCATGGCTCTGTTTGTTGAGAAGATACTCAGTGCTGGTTTGGGCATTGCAGTAAACAAGCCATTGATGGGATTTCCATGTTTGGCTTTGTTCTGTGGGTGGGGATTCTATGGCCCCTGGGCTGTGTGAATCCCAGGCCCCCAAATACCTTCATATTTTTATTCTTAGCTAAATACCAATTTTTTGATGAATACTTTAAAGTAGTCTGGATTACTTGAATGCATTGTTTCATATGGTACCTCAGCCTGAAACATGAACTTCCATAAACTAAAAGCTAACCAGTCACTTCCAGTAGCAAAAAGGTGGCTGTGATAGTGCAGCTGTGGCCCTCTGGCCCTCTGGATTCCAGCTCTTTGGGTTCCAGAGTGGATTCACCCCTGCATGCAATAGGAATAGTCATGCAGCATGCATGCATTAGCACTGCCTTTTTCATGACAGCCCAGATTTTTCAAGAATACATGGTTGGTAAGGACATCCATATATGCCCCATAACTTTGTAAATATTAATTCATATTGTCTTTATATATTTTTTTTGTCTTGAGGAAGAACTATTTCAAATTCTATAAACACTACTTAGTGACCCCCCCCCCCATATATTATTATTATTGGCCAAAATATATCCAGGCTACTTATTAAAACAGCATTTCCAGACATTTAATGAGATACCAGATCATCATCATCCTTTGGAGATTGTTTTACATGTTCGCAAGAAGTTTCTAAAACTACTTTGTCAGTTAGGGATGCTATCATTATAATGAGGCAGCATGGATCAAATACAGCAGTACAAGTTTTTAGATACCGTGTGTGAATTAAAAGGAGATAATAATCCTCTAGGGTATTATTTTTTCTGCAGTGTGACCTTTGATTGTGTTTTGCCAGAGTGTTTTGCATTGCTCCATCTTAACATTGCCACAGTGTTAATGGGAAGAAAAGCACAGTCTTTGTTTACCTCTGAATCTGATACATCAACTTGGCAACAAAACTAAGATCTTTAAACCCAGAGAGTTTTCACCATTTGTTGTTAATTATTTGTTAGTTTAATTTCTGAATCTTGTGGGGGAAAACAGGCTCCTTTGGTGCACGTGAATATGCAGAACATTAATTTTTCTCTGGGCAAAAGGGGAAATGAGCTTCTGTTCCCCTGAGGTTTTTAAAAAACTATTCTGAGTATTTGAGTTGGCTAGATCCTGTTAGTGGGAAAAGGATTGTTCAAAGATCTATGACAATTTAGGCATGATCAAGATAAAAGAAATGCATCCTGATTTAAATGCAAAATTCACTTTGTAATGAGATAACAATTTTCTTTAATAATTACATATTGTATGTGACCGTAGCCTTCAGTCACTTTTTTTCTTAAAAAAGGTTACAATAGTTTCCATTTTTAAGTGCAGTGGCTTGAATTTATGAGATGCTTATTTTCTCAAGGATGGAATTAAAGTGTTTGATCTGAATGTCTTCAAAGTTAGTAAAATTTCTGCATTCATATGCAGTGTAGACAAAGAATATACTTTTAGCAAATGTCAATAACACCAGCCTGAAAGATAATTTTACCCACATTTTACATAGAATATGGTGCTGTTTTGTTTGGCGTTATTTGGAGGGCAACAGTAATGGCCACACCTCTTATCTAATAAAACACTCAAGAAATGTAGTAAAATGGCAGGTGAACAACAGCAATAGGGGCCATTAGGCAGAAAACAAAATGAATAGAAAATGAAAGATGATCAATTGGTCTGAAAGAATGAGAAAGCAACTAGTGAGAAAGCAGGCATTAAATGTAGCTCCTTTCTCATATGCTACATTTTCAGTTAAACTTGGAGTGTTTACTTTTACTGTCTGTTTGTGATTTAGAAAGCAAGCATGTTGTATAGTTGAGTAAACGAGTATGGCTTGTTGTTACTGTAGTTCTAGTTTGGAGAGAGGCTGAGGTTGTATGTGCTTATTATATGCTATGCTAAAGTCTTTTTCAGCTATTAACCCACCCAGTCCTCATTTAATATGCCTTAAAATACGTGAAAGCATCAGAATGTTAACCAATATGTTACTAATTCAAGGGCAAGGAACAGAACTTGTATGGAAGCAGTGATGTTATTGAAGTGGAAGATTTGGTTCTCCCCTTGTTTTTGGTGATTGTTTCAAGACCACCTGGCAACCCCATGAGTGTGCCTTGAGTTACATCATGGAACAGTAGAGATATCTATACAAGCTGGGGTATTGTTTGGATAGTTTTATATAGGCATGAGACTACATGGAGCTCATGAGGGGCATTTGTATAGCAAATGCTAGGTGAACTCTAGTAAATTAGGGGCCACTTTCCCAATCTGTAGCACCCTGGGAGCTGTGTCAGCCCTTATTATAAAAGGGGGGAGGAACTAAACAAGAAGTGGTTAGTAGTCTGCCACTATTTTCTACCTTAAGCAAAACAGACATGGTTACCTGTTTATATTGGGAAATTGTGTATTTTCCCTGCAAAGAAATTGGAGATATGTCTCTGATGACCCAGTGTGGCATAGTAGTTTGAGCATTGGACTACAACTTTGGAGACCAGGGTTCGAAAAAGTCCCTGCTGAGACATGGAAACTCAGTGAATGACCTTGGGCATGTCACACACTCTCAGCCCCAGAAGGGTATAATAGGTTCACGTCAGGGTCTATCATAAGTCAGAAAGGACTTGAAGGCACAAAATAACAACATGAACAACAATGCCCCTGACATAATTGTGTCTTTGAGCACTTAAATATCCAGTCAGCCAGATTGTTTTGTACATTATGGGATGTTCATTTATCTTTAACTCATGGGAAGAAATGTCTTAATCATCAAACGTTTAAGACACACTTTAGATTTTCTTTCCCTCAGTCATTTGTGATTGCCAAATCAC